AAAAAAAAAAAGGCAATGTGGAAATCATTTCCTTATTGTTGCAAGGAAAACCACATGGATATCTCCATGAAGTCATCAGGAGCCAAATTCAACTCAAAGGATATTTATTTAATGTAATAAACTATAGGTTACCACCAAAGTCATATTCATAGCATACATTCAACTCTATTGTATGGCTGCGCAGAATGAGATACTTTAACACTGTATTTTTTGTTCATCTTTAAAATACAATACTTTCCATCTTTGGGGATATAATCAGGGCACAGCAGTAGAAGATGAGGAAGTGAGATCTGTGCAGTGGGTGAATTTCTTTCTTCCTCCCTTTTATACATACATTACAAATATACAATAATGGGAAAATTTAGGAGAGAAAATCATTAGTTTCAAGGACAACAACAGGCTCAGGGTACTGTCCATGATGTTTACTCCAGACTGCAAATTTCCATTGCACTCTAAGCAGTTCATTTTAGAAAAGAAAAATGTGCCTCATTTTTTAAAAAAAATCAGTATCAGCAAAGGGATGGAAATTGTAGAAGGCGAACAGAAAGAGCTTTATTGATTCAGTTCATGGAAGAACATGCACACATTCTGTTTAGTTGGAGGACCCAGATTTAATTGGGAGTTATTTTTGTTAACAAACACAGAGATAAAACTTTAGCAAGAGTTCTTGAATCTTTCTGCTGAGGTGGAGTGTTACTTTAAACAGAAAAAAATTGAATTATTCAGGAAAGACAATTAAAATATGGTTTTGCTCTCAGAGGAAATCTATAAGACAGAGCTTGCGATGTAAACAAGGTCTATATAACAAATTACCACTCATAAATAGTCTCTTGCCAGACAAAGACAGAACCATTAGAAAATTAGCTACTTGAGCCTCTGGTTTCTTCCTTGCTCTGAATGATCAGACCAGGTTGGAATCAGTAGAAGGAATTAATGGGAATGTACTTTTAGTCTTATTTTTAGTTCGAATCCCTAGTGCCATGTAACGGGTTGAGGTCCCATTACTTGTCCCAGCTTCTGGTAACCCAGCAGTTCAAAAGTACGTAAAAAATGCAAGTAGAAAAATAGGGATCACCTTTGGTGGGAAGGTAATAGTGTTCCGTGCGCCTTTGGCATTTAGTCATGCTGGCCACATAACCACAGAGACGTCTTCGGACAGCGCTGGCTTTTCAGCTTTGAAACAGAGATGAGCACTGCCCCCTAGAGTCGGGAACGACTAGCACATATGTGTGAGGGGAACCTTTACTTTTACTTCTTTTACTTTTAGTCTTATTCAAAAATGATGCTATTTTATTATTGTACTTTTATGTTGTGCTTAGGTAAATTAGGTAACTAGTAATTATGATCAAACATTTAATTTTAGCAAGCAGTTTTTAGCTTTTAGCTTAAATATTTTTGATTACTTATTGATCAGACTGGACTGCATGATAGGAAAAATAAAGAAGAGATAATATGTACTTCTTGGACCATAGGCTTCATCCAGCTTTTCCGAACAGTTGAAAATGGACAAACACATAGCAAGTAAGAAGTAATTTGAGCCTATACACTTGCCAAACAGATAGGATCCCCTGGAGTGGGATTTTTAAGTAAAGACTGAAAGTCATCCATTTTTAGAAATTTTCTGTACACTGAAGGAGAACTCGGATAGCAACAGAACCCCTCCTCTGAGACTCCTGCCGTCTGTTCAGCAGCTTCACTGCAGGATGAGAATGATATGGATCTAAAAAAGGAGATTGTAACAGATTTTATAACCAGACAGCCTTTATTGACATCATAGGTGTTCAAGTTGGTGACCACAATTAAAAAAAACCCAAGATGGACTCTCTAAAAGAAAGTTTCATAAAGTCTATTGAAAGCCAACAAAACAAAAAACAACGAGAGACTGCCAGGGCATGTATCCTTAGTGTAAAATCCACTAATTGTGCTCAACAAACACCAGTGGAGAAGAAAAAAGCAGGTCTTATGTCCAAACTTGACAAGAAGAAAAATGGTCAGGGAGAGCCTAATGTATAGCATGGAAAAAGGAGAGGGGACGAAATAGAAGTTGTTATTTGCATTTGAGTCAGACCGTCCTACAAACAGAGCCTTGGTAATACAGTGGTCTAAAGCACCCTGTTATTAAGACCAGCTGCCTGCAATTACTGCAGGTTCGAATCTCGCCAGGCTCAAGGTTGACTCAGCCTTCCATCCTTTCTAAGGTAGGTAAATTGAGGACCCAGTTGTGGGGGCAATAAGCTGACTTTGTATAAATATACAAAAGAATGAAGGCTATTGCTTAGCGCATTGTAATCCGCCCTGAGTCTCCGGAGAAGGGCGGCATATAAATCAAATTAAAAAAAAAAAATCTAACAGAAGAACGAATAGAGGATGCTTGGACTTTAAAAAAGGCAATTACCCTGCCCTTGAACTGGCTTCACATGCTTCTTTACTAGTATCTGTTAAATCTACTGAAAATGAAATAGTTACCATCCAGAAGAGTAACAACTTACAGTTTCAAATATGTTGTTTGAAGGAAACTCATCTTGAGCGACTTCTTAATATTTCCAATATTTATGTTGGTACAGAGAAAATTACTCTGCTTTTAGTTTAGTTTGCTCACGAGAATACTGTTTCTTTACAGTGTAATAAATTAAACAGAGATAAACTCAAGGACGCTCCACCAGTAATGCCCTTGAGAAGGTACGATTTGCAATATCTATAAAAAGAGAGTGCATTGATGAGTCTCTAGAAGCAAGGCTAATTGACTCTTTTGGTGCCTTGCCAGACTCTGAGCAAGTGGACATCCTAAAGTGACTGGATGAGTTGCGAACTCTGGTAACAATGTGCTGAATGGCCAAATCACTAATCAGTTTGGTTTTCCTAGCTGCCTAGGACTGTTGCAATGAATCTGAGAAGCAAAGTACCAGGACTGCTGTTATGACCTTGGAGAACCCAGATACAGAGATAATTAATGAAAAGTCCTTTGGGGCTGACCGTAATTCTCCCAGACTGCACTTGAAAAAGTGGTGCAATAGCTATTTTTTCAGTGCATAAAGATGGAGAAATTTTTTTGGCCTCAATCAGATCAAGGCTCCACATTTGCCTTCAGGTTTTCAACTTGTATGCCCTAGCAAACATCAGTGAATTAGTAGAAGGACAAGATGAAGATCCTAAAGACCCAGCTACTACAGGAAGGAATACTCTCTTTTTTTTTTTGCCATTTAGTAAAGACTTATGAGCAAAAGGCCATCTGTGGATCTTCTGATCCTCTCAAAATTGCCCACTAGTCTATTATTACCTCCATTAAAGTTGACTTTAACGATTCTCCACCTTGACACCCAATCTATTATTATCTCCTTTAAAGCCGATTCTAATGATAAAAAAAGACTATTCTTTCATGCTGTTGGTATCCAGGAAGTGTTATCTTTGCCTATGCCTTCCACTGGAAATTGTGGCAGGCTCTTCTGCCATTCTACTCATGGAATATCAGTAGATGGAACACAGGTCTAAAGACTTTGGTTTTATGAATTACTTTGGTCAAGATGGTATTCATTTATTTCAGGAAACCTAGTCATCTTACTTTTTGATCATTACAAGTCCTTTTCACTGCTAGCATTGTCCAGAAACAAGATGAGGCACAATGATATGAAGTTTCTATGTTTCCAGATTACAATTAAGCAATGCTTTAAAATCATTGCTAGATCAGTGTTTCTCAACCTTCAGGTGTGTGGACTGTTAATTCCCAGAATTCTGCAAGCTGAAGTCCACACTTCTTAAAATGTTGCTGGGAGGTGAAATTCACACATCTTAAAGTTGCCAAGGTTGATGAGATACAGTGTGCTAGACCCATTGGAGTTTTATGCAATGTTGTTAAATAATGTCATGCTATTATTGGTTAATGTATACATCCCACCTTTGTGAAATCAACCCCAAATTAACATCTTGTGGGCCAAATTAGGTGCTTACTCAAGCAATTTCATACTTATTTACCCTTTTGCTAATGTTTCTAACATCAAGAATGGGATTAAATGATAATGTACTATTTGCTAAATTCCATCAATATCCTCCAGATACAGGTGCACTCTTCTTTGTATACCTGGCATTAAGAGAATGTGATAGGACTGTTTTTATTATAAATATTGAGCAAGCTAAATTTATATCCACCGGAGGGATCTATTAGTAATGATTTTCTTGATGAGTTTTCTTGTGAGACCCTCCTTGATTAATTATAGGATTGATCAAGGAAGTATCCCATTTAAAAAAAAAATTAGAGAGCTAGTCATATAGTTAGCATTTTCCTAGCATCAGAGCAGCAAGAGAATTTGATAAATTCTTTTTAGAAACAGACTTTACTATCAGTGTGACCCCATCCAGGCTAAATGAATGCATCAGTGAAAAGTGACACTGGATAACTTCTGAGAAAGATTCACAGATTTTTCCTTAAATAGTTGAGGTGGACTTGGAAATTTGTATTTTACAGAATTATATTAATTGTACTTAGCTAGTCCAGCCACCATTATGTGCTTTGTTACCGGACCCAAAAAAGAAAAAAAATTGAAAGAAAGGCTTATCCATTCAACCCTGGTTTGATTCTGACTACCTTGAGCAAGAATGAATTGGTTAAGCTATTTAAACTATATAATTAAGATCCAGCTTCACATTCCATCCAGGAGTGTGCTATAAAAAACCCAGTGCAAATACCTACTACAAATATAATTTTGTAGGACCTGCTGGCCACAATTAATAACATTACAAACTAGGAATCTACTCTTATTGGGTGCCTGATGGCTTTTCATTCAATTTCTAGGTGCCTTTCTCCTATTTCGTAAAAGCAAAGTATGCTAGAGTCATTTGGGGCCAATACATTCTACAGTTTGATTAAATCTAAAGTTCCATATTAGCCCCCATCACAAGTTCTGAAAAACAACAACAGATTGCTAAACAACTTAAGCACAATAAAGACCCAGGAAGCAGTTTCTGCGGAAGTCCTATATAATAATTTGGAATGATGGACTACTATATTAGTTTCCATTATTTATTTACACTGATTATACTGTACAAATACTAAATGCTTGGAGTTTAGGTATTATACTTCCAGTACTTCTGTTGTTCCAAACACTTGCTTTAAGCCAAGCCAATTGCATCTTTTTGATTTATAGTTACTGGGGCAAACAGCTGTGAGTCACTTGTCATCTTTGCTTTTCATAAAGCTTCAGCAAATCTTAACGGATGTCTTGCAGGATATGGCAGTGCTCTTCTCCACTGCTGGCTGCCTGTAAAAAAAAAAAACAAGAAAAATTTTGAGAAACAACAAGACAATAAATTCTGAGATATGGAGTTTATCTGGCTATGGCCCCAGAAAAAGGTTTATGTTGATTCCTTATCCTGAATACTTGAGAACTTCTATTAGGAAGTGAGTACATAACAATACATTATACAGTATATCCTTTTACTTTGATTTTGAAGACACACAATAGTCAATTAGTGGAGTGGAGCTGAATTGATCCTGTTGTGCCATATTTTTATTATACAGTATAATGTTGGATAAAGGAGATCAGGATTATTTTATTTATTTATTTATTATTTATTAGTCCAACTTATATGCCGCCCTTCTCCGTAGACTCAGGACAGTTTACAATGCATTATAGCAATAGCCTGCATATTTTTTTGTATATACCTGCTTATTAGGGCTTTCGCCCCCCCCCCCCCAGTGGTGGTGTTCTATACAAAGTTGGCTCATTGCCCCACAATCCGGGTCCTCAATTTACCTACCTCGAAAGGATGGAAGGCTGAGTCAACCTTGAGCCTGGTGAGATTCGAACTTGCACTAATTGCAGGCAGCTGGCAGCTAAGTGCTAGCACTTAACGGCACTTTAGTCCGCTGCATCAGCGAGGCTCTTTTTTAGCTACTTCATTTATTATGTTCACTTTGGTATTGCTAATTATAATATAGAGGCAGTTCCTAGCTGTTTCCCACTGTAGTTTCCTCTCTAATGTTTATATCATGGCTTTGTTGTGTTGACCAGCAATTATTCAGGAATATCAACGGAGCATTTATTTATTTGTAGATGGCAATTGAGAATGGGGTGGCTTACCACTAGTGGGTGACTCTGACAGCTGCAGTAATTTTGAGAACCTCTCTGAATTGACTCTGTAATATTGTAGCATAATTGATCAGATCAAAATATTCAATGAACTTTTTTGCCTGTGTTACTTCTTGATCTTTGGGATGTCTGTTCTACCTTTCTCATCTGCTTAGGACATGCTATGTCATGTTTACCATTTCTGGCTTGATATTTTGCAAGATCATTACATAAAGATATTTGCATTTCCAAAATGTGTAAATATTTATTTCCATGACATAATTCAAAATATGATTGAATTTTGGAAGTTCTACTAATCACTTTCAAATATTTTGGAGATTGTTATTTTTTCTATTCCAAACCTCATCAACAGCATTTTCTAACATTTTATTCCTTTTTTCTATCTCATAATTGAATTGCAATAAACAAACACACTTCAAAAAAAACCCCAAACATTTGAAATAGAGATGGTATCTCCAGTCAGGAACCTAGTTCCTTTCTCTGCATGGAATGGAACTGAATTCCTTTGGCTGGCAATCTCTAAGCTATCTCCAACAGACAAAGGAAGCCCAAATCCAAGCAATGGAGCATTGAGGCCACACTTAAAACAAGGAATGGGAGTGGGAAAGGTCCTAAGAGACCTAGCACAGGTTGTGTGGGAGTGTTTTTTCTCTCAGTGGCAGAACATCTTGCTGGATAAGAATGCATGGATCAGTTCCTCAGAATTCTTCTCCAGAGCAAGGAGTGGACCAAGATTGCCCACAAGTGCTCCATATAACGATTCCTTGTGAGAGCATAAGATATGGGCTCTGATAGGTTTATATCTCTGGGAATTGGGTTAAGGTCATTACTCCTAAATTGCAATTTGGTGTATTTAAAAGCAGACTGGGTTAGCATACTTCCTTTCTTAACCACTTTAAGAAATTGCTAGTTAATGGCCTTTTGGATGTTAAGAACATTCAGAAGGGCAAATTTCAGGATAGCTGGGGAAGTATTATTGACTAGAAAAGAAAAGATGATAAGACAGGACTATGAAAATTGAAGAGAAGGAACTAGAAAGAACTAAATATTATAATTAAAGCAGACGAGACTCTTTAAAACAATGCTTCTTTTAAAGCTTTAATTAAATATTGTCCAGATTTGAGGGAGATTTCATTCAGATTTCATTGTTCAATAGAGCAATGAACAAAGGACAAAACTCTTAATGGATGGAATTGTCTCCAGATCTTTGCAATTATGAGTATAAACATCATTCTCTTTTGTGTTGTGTTTATATATGTATATGTATATTATACATTAATTTAAGTATGTTATATGTAAGTTTTTTGATAATGAGGCTATATGAAAATACAATGAAATAGGGCTAATGTTGCTATTGTCTATCTGTTTAGGCCAAGAGAATGTTTTGTTTCCTTATTTAATAAAGTATATTTTAAGCAGATCACACTAGTAACCTGCCATTTATTTTAATAAAACTAACAGAGTTCATATAATTGTAGCATCACTTATTTCAAGCAATACATCACAGAAAATCTGTTGCCATAAAAACAGCAGCAGAATGGGCAGAATTTGTCCCAGGTTCACGATAATCAGATTTTCGAAGCCCAATTCCACCAAATTAGATGTGAGGATACAAAAGTCAGTGTCTAGATTTTGAAAATCTCTTTCCTTTGTCTTTCTTGTATTTAAAAAAGAATTATTACAAGTTTAAACAGATGTTAGTAGACATTCTATGTCTGACATTTTTAAAGCAGAACTAAAAAAAAGCTGCTCTTACACCCTGTAATAATTGTTTTCTGTGAAAAGCATTCTTGTGATAGACAGTTGCAAAGTAGCCAGATTTTGTGTGTTTCTAATATTGCATAAATAAGGGAGAAATAAATAGGGGCAGCTTTTCAGATTTTAGCAATAGTGAGCCAATCACATAAAATATTCAAGGCATTGGAAACTGTGTCAGCAGCATGATATCTCACTGTTTTTTACTAGAAAAAAATAAAGCATGCTAGTAGCAATTCTGAGAATCTCAACAAATCTATTCTTGATGCAAATAATATCTGGAAAATTAAAACTGGGAAACTGACAATGGTTGCTTATATCTGAATAAACAATTTAATTTATTAAAGCAGTTTTTAAAATATCATAGTTTCCTATGAGTAGAGCTTGGAACAAAGCTTTTGTGTAAACACATCCATAAAGTTTTCTAGGCAACATTGCAGAAATGATTTGTCATTGCCTTCTCTCCTGCCACCGATTTATCTTGCAGGCTTAAATTTTTGTGGTCTGCATCGAAGTCTGATCCTGCTTAGTCCATGTAAAGTTAGCCAGGTTTTGCCAAAGAAACTTGATGCTGTCTTTTAAGTATTTGACATTTTCACCTTGAAGTTGTTTTCAGATAATTTAAAAGGATACACTGTAATGTTAACTACCTTTAGAACTCTGTACTTTCCAGTGTTCTCAATACAAACTCCCTTATGAAAATGAAATATTGTGTACATTTTGTAATCATAATATAGTTAAATAGAAAATTAGTATTTTCCTTACATATTAAATTATCTGATGCAATGAGATAGTATATAGAAATAAAAGAATCTACTCATGAATTTATGATTAAAATTTTGTTTAAATATTATTAATATTAAATATAATTAATATAATACATAATTATATGACATTAATATTTTATGTAAAGGATATCACTGAGATTAATTATTGTAGAGATATAACAATATTTTAATTTCTTTTCTATTAATGTTGTATAACACATGTTATAGAAATATGTCTATTGGACCCTTTTATAAATCCTGCTTGAAATGCTGCTTGTATTAGAGATTTATTAATTTTATGGCAATTATTTACAAATGTTGCCTTCTTATGACATTAAAATATTCTAAATTTCAACATTTGATTTTGTTTTCACTTACCATTTTGTTTGAATTTTTGAGTAGGAGTCTCAAGTACAGTTTCATATGCATTTTGTGTCTGGTTTTAATATCTCTTTCCATTAAAGTTTTAATTATACACACAGCATGTAGAAAAACAATCATCTTCCAACTCTGCTCCAGATATACCAAACAATTGTTTCTTGATAATGCCCAGTTGAATTCCACTGACAGAAATCTTTTTATAAAAATGTCACGATCATGTTGTTTGTAAACACTGCTCTTCTGCTAAGGTTTAAACATTGGGAAGTGGGAGAATAATTAATAGAGAAAAAATAAATAAATGTTGCTCTGCTTCTCAGTTGCCAGTTCCTTTAAGAATGTAGGCTAATTTGTTCTCTATCAACTTCCGTTTGCAAACAGCATTTAGTGGTTGTATCCTTATTATAATGACTTACATAAGTGTGCTAGTGAGAAGATATTTAATTAGTCAGTAAAATAAAGATTACTGTCTCCTACAGATGGTTCAGACTAGATTGTATGGCAAAATTGGCTTTTGAAAAGAACCTTTAAACCATGAACAAATAGTTGTTTGTGAAATGCACTGAACACCGAAGAGATAAATGTGTGTAGCAGTTATTCAGTTCCATAGTAACTGAAATAATTAGTTTATTAGATTCTTCAGGATTCTGTTAGAAAAATTTATAAGAATATTATTAAAGAGTTAAGTCCTGCTTCTCCACTAATATCACTGAAATGATATCAAATGCCTATATACAGTTAACATGAGAAAATTCTTCCTGCATTCAGTAGTAGGAGTAATAATAGCAGTACTAGTACTTTTTTACAATCATTGACCAGCTCATTCATGCATGTTGACTTCTATATGAGCTGGAATCCTGCCATATAGAGGACCTAACTTAAATTGAAACCAAGGTATATATAATCAGGTACAAATATTTTTTTTCTTCTGCAGACAATCAGCTGAATATTTTATTTCATTTAATTGATTATTATCTCACCTTTCTATTCTGGTGAGTAATGTTTGGCATGATAATATGATGAGTTCTTTGGCTTTTTAAATGCTTGATATATTATACAATATTCTACATATTCATTGTCGGTGGTCTTCCCCTCCCTTTTTTTTAAAAAAATATAAGAATAGTGTTTTAGATGTTTAGTGATTAATTGAGTCTTTGTAGAAAACACTGTGTCACCTTCCTGATATTTTGGTGCTGTCCTTGGTACTGAATTTCATTTTTCATTCTTTGCTTGGAATATAAGAAAGAGAGAAGATAATTTTGGAAGACTTAGATTTGAATCCAGACACCACCAATTAGAAGAATGTCCAGGGAAGATTGTGTTATAAAACTGCTTTTTAAATAATTCTTCTATTCTTCTACAAGTGGAAATGAAGGGAAACTTTTTTGTTCAAAAATATAAGTTTTGCTCACCTCGATGACACACGCTGTCTTCTTATGGTTTCTTCCATTGCGGCCGCCCCAGCTTCTTAGCAACTTCTAGGGTCACTTTCTCTGCCATTCAGTTTGAGGAGCTTCTCCTGACCAACCAGGGAGTTTGTAATCCCCCCGTGTTGGTCAGTCCATGCTTCTCTTGTTTGTTGTCCCTACAGGACAACTTAGGTCACTTAAGACCACTGGGCAGCAGAGATATCGACGGCTCTTTAGGAACTTCCAAAGAGTCCTCCGTACCGCTGTGACACTGGCCACGCCTCTCCCTGAGGAAACAGATTTAAATGTGACTTGTTCGCTGCCTATTATACTTATGATTTATATCAGTATATCTACCACTAATCATTAAAACAGTATGTAGGCATGCACAAATACAAAATGAATTTATAATGTAAAATGACAAAGGAAAATGGAAGGGAGGAAAACAAATGCTAGTGATAAATTATGCAATAATTCTGGGCTGCCATGCTATGCTCACTTAGCTTGGCAAAAGCCCCACTGAACTTAGAAGCCTTAGAAGATATGTGTAGGATTAGATGTTACTTTTACAGACTTACAATTGGTTGCAATTTCAGTATAGCTTAGTATTACTTAGTACTAAAAATCAAGAAGCCCAATCAAAGCGTGTGACTACAAGTAGAAAACCAAATTAATGACAGCAGGCACAGTGATCAGCCTTAGAATAAGAGATTCTAGAATAAGAGAACAAGAGAATGAAGTGGTGAACAGTATTTACATTTTAGGATTATCTATTAAAAGTAAAGAAACCAGAAGGTCCTTATATCCTTTTCCGTGAATTTGTTTCTTTTTTAGCTATCAAACAACCACAAGCTATCATCACATTTTTCCAATAATGAATTGTTTGTCTTTATCTTAGCTTTATGAATATATGTCCCAAGATTTTCAATCAATTCAGCAATAATAGATGGAAGTTTAGGGATTTAGCACATCTGGAAAGGTTTTTTTAAAAAAACAAAACATTCTGCACTATGTGAACGCAGTTTCATTTCTCCTGAACATATAAAAAACTTTCCTGAATGTTAACATGATGAGTAGCAAAGTGTCTTGTTTCTGATAGATAGAATGATATGTCATGCAGAAAGGCATAGGGTGAAGAAAAACGGAATAAAGTCTGCTGGATATCCCCAAATAAAAATGAAAGAAAAATATATTTTACCAAAGGAATTGGCACTCTTTTGATGCCTGAAGACTGTATTTAAGTTTCTGTGTACGCTAAGTGTTCTTAGGGGCAGGACAATGATGTAAAATGGTCATGCCTGCTTTTCTCTTTGTATTGGCTTAAAAACCCTGTTAAGCCTATTGTAATACTTGCCTGACCACTGTCATGTATTCCATGTGGTTTCTAGCCACAGATGTTGAGAAATTATGGTAGCAGTTTTCAGCAATAGTGGTCAAAGGAGCCTCTGGGCTTTGGGGATCAAAGGACTTTTGAATGGCTGTTTTGGTATTGGGATATCCAGCTATGTTTTCAGATACTATCTGCAGTTCTACACTGTGACCTGATCCTGTTAGGGACTGAATGGTGACAGCACAATACCTTGTGAGAAAACCATTGTGTCAGAGAGGTAACAAGATCAGTCCTGATACTCTCACACATGGGAAATATCTGTTACATTTAGCTAAATTTACATTCGTCCTACAGAAATTTGTGTCTAATCTGCCTATTCGTCTTGATTATAAAGAAGGTGAAATCCTATAATGATGACTAATCTATCATGTTTTCTATTATATTAAAACTTTTAGATTTATTCTGAAAAAAATGATGGATGGATATGATTGATGTTGACAAGGAGAATCAGTTATTTGGGTTAGGTTGTAAGCACAAAATAATTTTTAACCTTGAGTACTTGTTCTTATTATCGCTTTAAAGAATAGAGACTAGGAATAATATAATAGTAGAAACCCAATAACAGTCCCATACAATAGCAATTTATTGTTGCAGTGTTTACAGTAAGGCAGCAATTCACATCAAATATAAACTAACAATCCTTTCTTTCTCTCTTTCCCTTTTGTTATAACCAGACAAAATCAAACAGTTAAATCTATTACCGATCTCTGATTATAAAATAATTTGAAATGGGGGAAGGGGAAATATTTGAATTTTTTTTTCTTTTTTGTAAAACCTTTCAATAAAAAAAATATATAAATTTGAAACTTTGTAGAAATATGATTAAACCAGTTGTCTTTGGCTAGATATTTGGGATAGCCTGGGGGTTTACTCACTGATGTCTTGAAACAAGCATCTTGTAGGAAATCTTTGAAACCTCATAAATTAATAGTTGAAGTATTATAGTAAAATTATTTAAGGTCATCAGGAAAGTGGAAATCTTGATACAGCATGGAACATAGACAATCTGTATTAAGAAATGCTGCCTAGCAGTTAAAGTTCTGTACTTGGCAATGATAAACCTGAGTTCAAATCTCTACACAGGCGTAAGATTTTCTGGTTGAACTTGGACAAATTATTATTTTTCAATATAGATTTTTCAATCAAGATTGATTGTGAGAATGAAGTTGCATTATCAATGCATGCCATTCAAAAATTGTAACATTTATAGAGGAACCCAGAAGCATGGCAATGATTGTATACTTCCTTTAAGGGAAGGGGCATAATATGCCTCTAGTATGCTCATCTTGAGCTTTAAATAAAAAATGACATTGATCCTCAAAATCTGCTTATGCGGCATTCATAATGTTCACAGCAAAGAAATAATTACTGCGGGTATATTCAGCAAATTCTGTTTATCTGCTTCCATAAATTTATGTGGCTAAGCATTTTTTAAAACTACCATGAAACTAAGGCAATTAAAATATAAATATTCATGGAAAAGAATAACTAGTCCTATGCTTCTTATACCAATGCTGCTAGACAGTCTTCTTATAAGTCTTCTTATTCTAATAATAAATATAGCAATCTTCCTGGTGCAGAACACAAGTTATTTATGGCCAGAACTTTTAAAAAAATTCATAAGAAGATAGCAATGCTTACATTGTGTTAGCTAGACAGCTTTTCAATAAAACGACATTTTAAGATATGTACTACCTTTCTTTTGTGAACCTTGATGAGTAAAAGGTTCTCTCCTAAAATGAGCAGATTCGTAGTTCCAGACATGTGTATTGACAGAAATGCCATCAGAAAATAGAGACATATTGTTCTGTACTTAATAAGATAGATTGGCTTCCTTATCCTGAAGCATTTTCTAGCTGGGTTTCAATGAATTTATCCATGCTTTCAACTTACTGTAAGCATCTTTCACTTAGCATTTAAAGAGCCTTCTCCAACGTGGCAGTTCCCAACTCCCATAAAAATTAATTTTTGGAAATTTCCTATTTATAGGAAATGCCTAGGTATAATTAAAAAGATGCCAGAAAAATATTTAATGTTTGATTTTTGTAAAATATTGGTTAAAGGCAGTATATTCTTAGCAGACAGTTAATAACTGAATAGAAAGTACTGAAATAACAATACCCTAATGAATGCATATGTCTCTTCCTTCTTAGTAACCTAAAGCATCAATAAAAATTACAGATAGATGCTCTGAGTTGAAAATAACCTCGGAGAAATTTCAAAATTATGCAATAGGTTTCCCACTGGCAGAGATTACATATATTTTACAATAATAGAGTATCATTTGTTTTTATTTAGAAACTTTTAAATATTGTTTATGTTTTGATGGATGTGCAATTTGCAACCCCTATTTTGTTGTTTTCCTTGCTTTTCATTTTTTTCATTTTTGTATTGGGTGATCTTATATAAATATTATGTGAATAAAGAATAGAAAATGTTCAGGATTCATAGACTGGGGATAAACATCTTGAGATAAAATTACTAGGAGCAAACCCAAAAATATTTCTCCTGTAAAATCACTGGAAGCTACTTCACATCAGAATGAGTTAGCTGAATCACAGATTTGACAATTTTCTATTGTCAGCTAGTCTTACCATACATATTTTTTTTTTTGCTCTCTAAATGGGTATTATTACCAAAAATTGTCCTAACTTTTAAGGATTCTAATTAACAGGTACTGAGGTTCAGCTTAATTATTGAATTGTCTGTGGCACGAATCTGTTGAAATGACATAATCACAAAGACTTCAGTACTTTGAGAAAATATGAATATTGCATGAGACATAACCTACAGAAGACTTCAAAAATTGTGAATGAAGTTTGATGGAATTTTGTTTTGAATGGAAAAGTCAGCTCTGCTAGAAATATGAAATTTTTATGATCATGTGTGTAGGACTTATGGTTAGTATTAAAATATGCTGTATTTGTATTAAAAACAAGGAGCCTGGTGGCGCAGCAGACTAAACTGCTGCTGTTAAAGTAGCACTTAGCTGCCAGCTGCCTGCAATTACTGCGAGTTCAATTCTCACCAGGCTCAAGGTTGTGGGGGGGGGGCAAAAAGCCCTACTAAGCAGGTATATACAAAAGTATGAAGGCTATTGCTTAATGCATTGTAAGCCGCCCTGAGTCTCCGGAGAAGGGCGGCATATAAATCGAACTAATAAATAAATAAATAAATGAATGAATGAATGAATGAATGAATGAATGAATGAATGAATGAATGAATGAATAAATAAATAAATAAATAACATGGTATAAAACATATTTGGTATGAAAAACATGGTATATAAAGGTAGGATTCAAAAATGTATGTGTAAAGGAATTTCAGGCACTCAAAATCAATACATATTTCCTTTCAGTTAAAGAACACTTTTCAACCCAAAGGTGCTTTTTCAAAAGACAACTAGACTTTGTTTTTCCTTGAAGACGTTTCACTTCTCACACAAGAAGCTTCTTCAGTTCTTAATCGAAAAAACAAAGCCCAGTTGCCTTTTGAAAAAGCATTTTTGGGACAACCATGATCTGGATGACTGAGAATCTCCAAAGGCATGAACACTTTTCAAAAACATTATTCTTATGACCAATAATTGGAGGGAAACTTAGAATAATTCATAGGGTTGATCAAGGATTGGCTTATAGGCACAGGCAAGGGAAGATCTTGCTGATCACTGATCAACAAGTTGCAAACCAAGGCTAAGACTATCATTACATAGGTCAATAGATGTGTAAGGTGGAGTGGAAATTCTATGTCCTTCCAGGACTTCCACTTGTGAAGTGATGAGATCAGCAACATTGAAAGGGCAAGAGACCTCTTGTTCCACAATTCCTTAATTCCTCTTGGTCCGAGTGGGTGCATTTTCCCCTTCCGTTTTTCACTAGCAAGAAGCCAACATAATTT